TGCATCTACTCTCAAGCCTGGCTTCAACAAAGAGTTTGGTCTTGTTGTTTTCTTCCATAGGTAACGCTTTATATAAACTTAACTGGTGGTGGTTCTAGTACGGTATGCGTTATCCAATTATATTCGTGTATCCTTTTGGTAACTTCATTACACTATCCAGTCAAAGGGCAATGATTTCAAGGAACTGGCTCAGCCAGACGTTTATATCCGATGACACACTGGCATTGTTCTTCTTTTCTTCAAACGAGCATTGCAGAGTATGTGGGGTGAGCTGCAAATGACAAGAAAGAAGGAATTTATTCCATACAACTAGCTCAAGCGTGGTCATGTGAGTTGCATGAAGGGAAAAGTTGGATATGGGAGGGAAGTGCCGGTGAACAAAAGAACTTGAAGATCTATGTGCTTGTTAGGAACGAGAACGTGAAACTGGGTTTTTTGCGTTGCACATGAGGTGGGTGTGGCTATCAAGAAGGTAGCGTCACAATGCATCTCGCTCAGTCCTGCATTTTGGTCAAAAGAGACGGTTTGTGGTTAAGAAACTCACATTGTAACTTCAGAACACATACAAGAGTATCGGTATTTTACCAAAGCGAATAATAATTCACCCCATACCTTCACGCCCAGCGCTTGAAGCAGTCCCCTTGCCTTGCCATCCACCTTCTCCCCCCTCAAGCGAAAGCCAGACAGTTGTCCCGCTTTTTCTGTTCGGGCAGCGAAACTCCCGCCGAGTAGATTTTGTGGTTGGTTGGTTGATCAAATACAGTTCACTGCACTGTGCACCAGATTCTGTCGCACGGCAGTTTCGAACAACCGTGGAACAAACGTACAGTACAACGGGCACCCCAGGGTTTACTGTAGCTGATAACCTGGGTGAATTCGGGAATCGGGATTCGGGAACCCCAAGCACAGCGGCGGGAAGGCTTCTTGCCTTGCCTTGCCTTTCGTTTCCTTCCTCTCTTCCTCACTTTCACTCCCAATGCAAAATGCAAATGCAATGCTGTAATCCTTCCTCCATCAATACAGTACCGTGCTCCACTCCCATGCCCATGATTAGGACTTCGCAGTTGAACAAGGAGATGCGGACGCATCTCATGGAGGGCACGCTCTGTGTTCAGTCCATGATGTTTCGGATAGTAGTGGTACAAACTTGAATAGATTCATCGCCGCATTTTTTTATAAGAACATTTTTTAGGTCGTCTTCCTATTTATTTTTCTTCTTAGCCAGCTGCTGGTACAGCTTGCTGACCGATCACCCATGGCGACGCTTAGCGGCATCGCCGGCGAGTCTTTCGCAGAGAACCGTTTCGCAGAGTCTCTCGGCCACGACCCGTTGCAGAATCGCACGGCTGGTAATGGCATCAGCGGCACAGAATGGCATAGCAGCAGCATCGCGCAGGCGCAGCAGCAGCTTCATCAGCAGCATCAGCAACAGCAGCTGCAGGAACAGCAACACCAACGGCAGCAGTTGCAACAGCAGCAGCATGCGCTCGTACGTGAACCCATGCCTGGAACCGGCATGGGGAATGAGGAGGCCCTATTGATCGATTTGCGCGGCTTGAAAGAACGTTCCAATCGCAGTGCGACGTCCGTCGCCGACTTTCGTCGCCAGCACATGGTGCGATTCCTGCGCGACGCCACCGAGCTGGCGAACCAGCCCGCGCAGCCGCCGGAAGCGGGGGTCGCGCAGGGGGAGTGCAGCAGCGCGCAAGAGCGGGCGCAGGGCGCGCAAGAAAAGGTTCACGGCGCGGACCAAGAGCACGGAAGAACGGGGGACCAGGGCGCGGGGGGGTGGGGCGCCGGCTTTGCTAGCAATATACACGGAGCTGGAGTGAGTGGTAATGCGGAAGGGGAAGCGGGGGGAGGAATCGGGAAGCCGCGGCTGGCGGAAGCGAATACCGCGGGGCGGTTGACGGAGGGGGTCAGCGCGGAGCGGAGGCTTGGCCGGCGCAAGCAGGCAATGAGGGGAATGCCGGTCACAGGGGGGCGGATGCTGTGGGTAGAGGGGGAATCCCGGCATGGGGAACCGCCGTTTCCCCACGCGGAAGAAGCGCAGGCGGAGGAGGCGGAGGGGGGGGAAGTGAAGCGAGACCAGTGGGAGCTAGCGCGAGCGGGGAACCGGGGAGGAGAGGCGGAAGCGGAGGCGGAAGCGGAAGCGGAGTTGATGCGCGCATGGAGGTGAGCGCGTATGCGAATAGCATGTCCGTGCTGCGGGAGGCGACAGGCCGCGGGGGCGGAATGACATGGGGGGAAGGGCTGGGCGCGGGCGCATCTGGCAGGAGCGGCGGGTTGAGGGGAATAGGGGGACGGGAGGAGGGGGCGCCGGGGAGGGACGGCTCGAGCGCGCAGGAGAATAGTCAAGGCTTGGTGTCTCCGAGGGGGGGGAGGGAGCCCCCGGATTACAGACAGGCGGTGGCAGGTTTTTCAAACGAGCATGGCGGTATGATGCCACGTGTCTCGGGTTATTTCGAGCAGCAACAGCAGCAGGTGCAACGGCAGCAACAGCAGCAGCAACAGCAGCAGCAGCAGGTGATGGGAGGAGTAAAGGGTGAGTCTCAGCCACAGCACGTTGGGCAATCCCTGTCATTCGATGCCCAGGAGCGGCTGTACTATCAGCAGCAACAGCAACAGCAGTACCAGCAGCAGCAGGAGCAGCAGCAGCAGCAGCAGCCGCAGTTTCCATCCGCAGCAGCAGCAGCATGCGCAGCCCGCGTCCGCGCACTTCCCCTCCTCCGCCACACCCAAGTTCCCCCACCGCACCTCCCTAGACCCGCACCCCCACCGCTCCTCCCAGCCCTTCTCCCTCACCTTCCTCACATCTCTCTTCCGCCGGGACCCCCTCCGCACGCGCACCTCCCGCCGCTCGCGCCACGCAGCTAGCCACGGGGAGGGGGGACCCCCTTCCGAAGCAGAGCAGATACCCGTTCCGCCCCTGGATAAAATCCTGAACGTTCCCCGAAGCGTCGCGTCTGATACAGCCACTCGTGCACCAGGAATCCGCCCCTCCTCTCCCCCCCAACCCCCTTCCTTCCCCGGAGGCAACCCCCCACTAGGGGCGACGTTTCCCCCCAACCGCGGTTACCAATCCGCCGCCCTCCCCTCACCTGCGCAGCCATCCCCCTCTAGCGCGGATCCCCACTCGCTCTGGTTCTCCTCTCCTTATGAAAGCGTGGGGGCGCGGATTGCAGAGACTGAGGCAGCGGAAACGTTGGGGAGAGGGTTGGTGGGCGGAAGCGGACGACTGTGGGGAGGGGGGTTTCCGGGGGGAGGCGAGGGGAGGGAGAGTGCAAAAGGGGAGGCGGTGGGGTGTGTGCGGCCTATGATGCCAAGGTGGGTTACCCCCCCACGGCGCCTCTGGGCAGGGCGAGGGGGAGGGGAAGTGGCAGGGGCTGGCGGAGGGGGTGGTGGTGGTGGAGGGGGAAGGGCGCAGGGGGAGGAGGAGCGGGGGAGGGTGACTCATGCTGGAAACGGGCATTTTCAGGAGGTGAGGGCTGGGGTTGGTGGGGCAGGTGTGTGGGTGATCTATTGGAGAGAGTATTTTTAGTCTCTCACTTGCACTGGTTGATATGCCAGTCAGAGTGATGGCTATACATAGCAAATCCACCATAATTGGATTGGGAGACTTTTTGCTATGGTATCATAGAACAAAAGCTTGCGCTTTTTGTTGATTGCCTTCCCATCTGTAACCCCTCTTGTTGTTCCTTCTGGCTTGCTGTCTGTTTGCTTGGGTGTGGTATTCTCACACACCATTCTTTTCCTCTAACCCTTGTATCCCCCCTGTTTTTGCACGTTTGTTGCTGTGTGCGTGCTTGTGTTCGTGGGTGTGTGCGTGGCATGCATGCATGCAAACGTGCGCGCGTGCGTGCGTGCGAGCGTGCGTGTGTCTGTGTATGCATTGTGCCTGTGTGCGGTGTGTCTGTTTTCGTGCGTGTGCGAGGCAATGTACTCCACGTTGGCATTTCTTCGGATGTCGCAGCCTCTGTCCCATCCGTCGTCGTACCAACACCACACCACCCATCGGTGACCGTGCACCAAAACCAGCATCCCCAAAGCTGTCCGGCTCAGCTCTGCTCCTTTGACTGGTTACCGCATGCTCGATACTCTCCCTCCCTGCTCACTCTTGAGAACTCCACCAGAAAGTTGCAAGTGAGGGATGGGGAACCTGGGAGAGGGTTTGGGGGGGGAGATGGTGGAAACGTGTGTTCGTGTGTGCCTTTTTGTTTTCGCGGAAGTCTTTGATCTCCTTTTTTTCGTCAATTTCCCCTTTTCTCCAACCCACCGGGAACAAGTTATTGTCCCTTGCGGCACTCTCAGCCTCCGCCTCTCGCTCTGCAAGTGCACCTTACAAGTTACAATCACGCTCTGTTGCGCTGCTGTCAAGTCAAGCAGCATGTTATCTATCCCAGACCACACTGCATGAGCTGTAGTTGTGTTGCCGCTGCTAGATGTTACCGTATGGGTAGATCTGGTCTCATTGGGCTGCCTTACACGTTGGATGTTTCGAACATGCTAATGATGTTAGTCAAAACATGGTAGTAGCTGGAAAGAAGGTTAAGGCGGTACCGGTACGAACCTTCAATTTCATAGGGGACTAGTGGGCAAGCTGGGTTGGTTCATCCGATGCTGCTGTGCTGTTTCAGGCCGTTTGTGCTTGATTGCTTTTATTCCGAGGCAATTATTGCATGAATACAAAATTTCATGATCAAGCTAGGTAAGCATCCAGTGAGAGTGTAGCAATTACCTGTATAGATGCTGTTAATCTAACGCCTCGAAGTGTGGGCTCACCACACGAGTCATTCCCCCACCGTACCTTATCTGCTGCCATATGACGGCTGTTGGGGTTGGTTTGGATCTAGGATCCGTAGCGCCCCCACCCACGTCCGCACTTGCGTCCCTACCAAAGCTACCTCCAATTTCTAGTCACCGCAAGCAGCAGCGCCCATCCACTCGCTCTCCCCCCCTCCTCCTACCGTTTCCCCTAACAGGCACCCCGCGGGTTCATTTTACTTCATGCAGTAGTTCATGCAGTCTCGCCGCTGGCTGAGAAGCGCCTTGCGCATGCAGCACTTGGAGCACTTTTTGTTCTTCTTCGCCTGCGATTCGTCCAGCTCGTCGTCGTCCAGCTGGCAAGACCGCCACTTGGCGTTCGCGGGCGGCGTTTTCGGGACCAACTTTGGCGTCGCGACGTTGCGATTAACCACCGGCAACTGCGGGATCCAGGTGCCGAGTCCGATGTAGTCTGTCGTTAGGTACTTCTTAACCTGCCGCGCAGACATCACCCGCTCCCACCACACGCGCCCTTCAAGCACGCTGCCGATCCCGCGATTGTTATACTCGGAGTAAAACGTCGTCAGTCTTCTAGCGGGAACCGTAAAGTCGCTCCAGCCTTCGGGAGCAACGACATTGTCCAGGGACGAGTATGCGACGATCGTGCACGAGTATTTTCCCCACGCGCGCCCCAACCAGCCCTGGTTCTTGCCCGTTATGTGCGAGTTCATGATCACGAAGCACGTGTCGTTCGTCGGCGAGTCGCGCTTCTGCGCCGTGACCGCGGCGGTGCCCATCGAGTCCATGTAGAACGTGCACGAATCAAAGATTGCGCGCGCGTTGCCGAACACGAAGTCCATTTCGCCGAAAATGTAGCCTGGCGACGTATTCGCGAAAGGAAAAAAAATCGACGCGTATGGAGGGGCGTGAGGCGGACGTGGAAGGCTTGAACTCAAGTACAGTACCGAGGGGCGAACAGAGAGGCGTGGATTCAGAAAATACTAGCAACCATGAACAGAGCGCGCTTGAGCCGAACAGAAGCAGCAATAACTTACAATCTTTGTAGTATTGGAAGCCATCTTGTGCGTATAGAGTGTCCTGGTAAGAGAAGAAGCTGCAGTTGTACACTAGCGTGCGATTGCCGCTAGCGCGAAAAGCGACCGCCTGGAATCCGAGGGTAGCAGGCGGAGGACGTGGAGAGCTGTTCTCAACGATCATGTTGATCATCGTGAAATCGTCGCCCAATGCTGCCAAAGTGCCCGTGCCGGCTGTTACCAGGTGCATTTGGGATGGACGGAAGGAAACGGGCATTACTAGGATGGAGGGTAGGACGAAATTTGAGAAGCCGACAAAAAATAGGTGCGACCGCGGGATTCAAAAGGAATGGTGCGCAGGTAAGCAGGAGAAAAGCTTCAATTGGTGGACGGTTTGTGCACCTGTGCCGATTGGATTGCCGTTGGCGTCGAGCTTGGCGGAATATTTGTTGTACTTCACGCGAGTGAGACCAGGCTCACCAATAAGCGTAATGAATTGCTGCAAAGGGAAAATGCATCGATAAACAACGACTGTGAGGTCAGGCGTCGGGAGAATGATTGGTAACAGATATTGCGGAAATTAATTGCAAACGGCTTGAGTGTCGAGCGAGATAGAGCTGACGTGGCGAGAGTTCGTACATGCGTGGATGGGATGACGACCTCCTCGAAGTATGTCCCTGCCTTGACAAATATGATCGTCTTGACGGGCTTCACTGAGTAGGGCGACACGTAGTTAATCGCCTCTTGTATCGTTTTGAAGTTCCCTGAACCATCCTGAGCAACGATGATATCAGGACTTGCGGACGGGACGATGGGCCCTGACCATGCCGCCTTATGCGCAAAAACTGCCTCGGCTATTTGTGAGTGCGGATTTGCTGAAGGATCACCCATAAACGCTGAGGAGGGTAATGATGCAGCAGCAGCAGCGGAAGCACAAGCGATTAGAGGCAACAGCAACATTATTCGAAACGCCATCGCTAGCGCGCGGAGCTCAGTTCTTGCAGACGCCTTATGGACCAGGAGTAAAAATGTGGAATAAGAGCTTAGCTTGCACAACAGGAACCTAATGCTTCTCGCAATGTCATGGGACGAGTGGCCTAATGTGAGGCGCAATTGTTCAACAACGGTTGTAAAATATGCTGGAGGGATCCCACAAAATGTTGAGTTGAGCCAATGTGAAGATGGGTGTGCCAAAAATTAGAGTTCGCGACGCGCAATGCGGTTCGAGAGATGTTTCGCTTGATGCGGCTCGCAACAACCCAACGTCGGCACCTTTGACGGTGGACGATCCGCGACTGGAAACTCGAATCGCTAGTTTTCGCAACGTCGAGGTGGTCACAAAAAGATTGAGGAAAAGCTTTCCCGGCTCCGAGGTGGAGTAACAAAAGAAGTCGCGATTTTGCTGACGAAAGTCGTTTACCAGCCGAGAGATAAGCGACTTCGCGAGGAGTGGTTGGATTTTTTATTGGGCACATCAAAGTTTTCACGTCCGTGAGGTTGAGTGAACTGTGGCAGTCGGATACCTGGCGGCCTACCTTTCTACCGTCCAAAACTTGCACGACGATGGACCATGAGAGCCTTTTGTCAGGGCTGCGTTGTTTTTGGGAAAGCTGGTTGCGAGGTGATAGGAAGCCCTCCAAAAAGTAACGAATTCTAACCCCACATACACCTTCACCTGAATTCCTTTGACCACAATACAAGT